GTTTTGTATATGTAATTGTTGGCGACTTTGTATATCAGCTTGGTTTTGTGGGTAAATCTTTGCATTTTGAAACGTTTGAGGTTATCGAGGTTTTTGTATGCAATATTCTTGTGTATATGGTGCAAAATAATCTGGTTGAAAATAATCATCATCATCAGTTGACAAATAGTTTCTATGATAGTGTGTTTGTTGCTCATTTCTATTTTGTTGAAAAAGTGGGTAATTTTCGCTATGATCCTGTGGAGGATGTGGATAATCTTGGAAAATTACTGAGTTGGTTGATGTATTTGGAAGATTCCAATTTTGAGAACCTGCATGCTTCTGCGTATTTTTTCGAGGAGGTTGATATGTTTTTGATGGGTTTACGTAATTATAATTGTGTTCTGCAAAATTACTTCTCGTGAACGTTTTTCGTGTTTTTGACGGTTTTGTCATTGGTCTATATGTTTGATAATCCATATGTGATTATTTTGGAGTAACCGAGGGTTTAACCGTTGATTGTAAGGTTACTTGTGGTAGTGTTGGATTTTTATTTCTTGGTGTTGTGAGATTTGGATGTATTTGTGAAATACTTTGTTGTGTAGTTGTTACTGTTGTTTGAACTATTTCTTCATTCATAAAATGTGATGGTGTTTGAATATCTTGATGTGTAAGATTCTTAGTTCCATTTAAATTTTCCTGATGTATAACAGTTGAACTTAGACTAGTAATTTGTCTATCGAGTAAGAATGAATTATAGTTTAGAGGTGTTGCGTCTATTGTAAGTGGAAAAATTTTTAGGTAATCTTTGTGAATAGATATTGTACTTATTGCTTGACTTGAGATGTCTACTGGGATGTTTATGAATAGTGGGTGAGACCATTCAGGGTCCCAAACGCAATCTGATTGTTCTGCAATAACAGTTTTGTCATTGGTACTTTGAGGTCTAAATGTTTTTCTTGCTTGTGTAATTAAATCGATATTATGTGTGAAATAATCAATTATAAACCATGCTAAAATTTTTTGCAAGTCATGTTTAGCGTTTTGTGAGATGTCATTGGTAGAAAATTTTTCACGGATTATATTTAAAAATGCTGAGAATGCGGCATTTTCATTTCTTAATTTGTGTGTCTTGATGTTTGAACCAGTGACGTACCTTGTGCTTCTGTTCTATCTAATATAGATAGATAACTATATATTAGCGTAAAAACTTCGTTGGTGAATTTTGAATTTGCTCTCTGTGAATTTTGGTATTGTATGCTTTTGATGTATTCTGTGAATACTTTTGAAAATTCTATATCAATGTCGTCTGTTTGGATAACATATTTATCATGAAATGTTATTGGTGTACTGATTTCTATTGTCTAAGTTCCATATTGCTGTGTTATGTGACATATTTCTTTTAAATAGTGTTCTACAGTTTGTCTTTTGATTTATATTTCTGGGAATTCTGCTTTACATGGGCTGATTACTCGTTCAAATAAAATTGCGAGAAAACTTTTGCAAAATTGTGTTTGTCCTCTATCATCAGTAAGTGTAGTGATAATAAATGGGAAAACAGAGTTTTCGTCGGGACTTTCGTCACTTTGAGTATGGCCCATTTTTTCGTTTTATGACTGCTAGTACGTAATGTTCAATATGTCTGATTGGTTGATTCCAATTGTATAGATGTACTGGTTTATGTTTGTATATCTTTTTTATTCGTCTTTTCCCTTGTTTTGATGAGTGTGATGTGGCTTCTGAATCGGAAAAACATATTTGATCATTGGTTGGATAGTTTTTATTTACTGAGTCTTTTAGTTTATAAAGTGAGTCTAAATTGCTGTCTTCTGATTCGGAGACTCTGTTTCTTCGCTTGGAAAATTTTTTTCGTGTAATCTGTCTTTGTTTACTTATAATTTTTCTTTTTATTGTTTGTCATTTTGTTCGGATCTATCCAATTGTTTTTGTGTGCGGGGTAATTACAAGATCGTATTTTTGATTGTTTATTTCACAATTGTGTAGTACGATTGTTTGTTTATTTCCTAGGTTTTTCAGTGACATAAGGTTTAGGATGAAGGATGCAAGAATGTTATTAGCGACTTTTATGTCCTAGATTGTTAGTCCTTATTTGGGTCTTTTATTCAGGGTTGGAGAGAAAAGTATATATCAATTCCGGAGAATGATTGTTACTTTCTCGTGGCTAGTCTAAGTTAAGGTGTTACTTATTTAATCTTACTTAGGGGTAATGATTGTGTTCAAGGGTTGGAGAATAGTAAATCGATCCACAAGGTTCAGGTATAATTAGAACGCAAGCAGTTCGTTAGATACTATTTTAAACTTACTAATATTAAGCCTGTTTAGCCTAATTAGAATGGTTAGATTGAATGAAAAATGTCTATTAGCCCTGGGTCTTTTGAAAGGGTTGGATAGTGAATCGACGTTTGAGGTTGTTAGACACTTGATAAGTGGGTGGGGGAGAACAAAATTTTTTTCTTTTTGATCAAAGGATAAGCCTTGATGATCAGAGTATAAAATTTGAAATGTGTAAATTTGATTAAATTAATTTATAATTAAGATCCAAGGAAAACCTTGATGATCTAATTTAGGATTGGATAATCTTATTTAAATAAAGATAAAATTGAGGATAAGCCTTTTTGAAATAATCTAAGTTTAATTGGTAAAAAGGTTTAGTTTTTTGTGGTATTAGTAGATTTATGATTGCTGTTATGTTTAGGTGATGAAGCTGGAGATGACGAGATGATTTATGTTTACTAATAATTTATGATCATGTTACTAATTTTTATTTTTATTTTCAATAAAAATACCTTTCAGATATCTTTTTGAATCAACTGCAGAATTGAGGGAAACGATTTGAGGTGTTTTTATCAATCGTTATTGTACAATAGTAAATTTGGTTTAGCGCCTGAAATAATCATTTAAGTTTTCCTTCAGGGATTTCATGTTTGCAAATGAAAATCTAAATTCATTGCTAATAAAATTCTCAAAATAAAAGTTTGTGTTGGCTTTTGCCGTACGACCATGAAACTTAATGGTAAGTTTCTATGTAGTCGTAGATCGTCTCTTGTCCGAGGTCTTCTTCCAATACCGGTTATTTTCGTATTGTATGGAATAGCTACTCTGATCTATTGAGTCGTAGAGATATTTCAATTAAATTATTGGCATGTAACATTTTGAAAATGTTTGTCTAATTTCTAATCTATTATGTTAATTCTAAGCTATTTTGTTCTTTAAGGTCTTATTCGAGACTTATGGTTGCACCAGATGAGTTAGATCCTTTGTCTGTAACTCATAGAGTAATTTCGGATAGGGTACATCGTCTGCTCGTCACGCTATTTTATTTTCGGCCGGATAGATTCGTGCAACTTCTTAGTCTAATACCGATCCTAATCTTACTCTTATATCTACTAGTCTCAGGGTGTTTAACTAGTCTCTGCTAGGTTCAATAGATCTAGAGTATACTGGCTTATTGCGATTGGTGAAGTTCTCTTGGAGAGGTAATTAATTTCTAAGTTAATTTCAAATCTCTCTGGTGCTGAAATTACAAGTAATTTCAGCACTTACAAATAAGTGGGTTGATAGTTAGATGGATCATGATTGGTTAATATTAAATATTTTATAGTGATAAAATATCTAATTTATATCCAATAACAAAGTGTAGTTTAGATCAGGTTCCAATACCCACGACCTACTCGAATTCTCGGCTCTGTCATATTTATAACGCTCGTTCATTCCCCCTACTACTCATTTTCTCCTTACTCGTTAGTCCCTTCGTCAAGCTTATTTTTCCGGATCCTCTCCCCAATGTCAACCCCAACTCTCCAAAACACCCCAAACACAGGTTACTCTTCGTTGAAGGGATGACGAGGGACAATAAGGGGAGGTAAATTGCATTCGGACAAGAAAATCATGACCAGCAAAAAACGAGAAATTAACATTTCACGAAAAAAATTTGAAAGAAAAAACTGAAATAACAATTTTTTTGCCAAATTACTTTTTTATTCATTTTCAGGATGAGTCAAATCAAAAAATTTGAATATAATGCACTGTCTTTGAAGTTTTCAGAAAAAAATTCAAAAAATGGATATAATCCATCATAATTGATTATAATCTATTATAATTAATTATAAAGGATTGAAATAAATTTTTTGATGTGACGAAAATTATATTTTAATCTATTTTTGATATATTATATTAGATTTGTTTGTATGTTATAAGACTGAAAATGAAAAACTTGTATAATCAAAAACTATGTATGAAATTTCAGTACGAATTGTTCGAATTTGAAATATATTTTTAAAAAAAGGTTACAAAATGGACTATTCTGAATTTTTTGCGCAATCCATGATTTTTGGAGCGTTGGTATTAAAAAACGGTGACTAACTGTGAAAAAAATAGTTAGCTAGAAAAATTGGAACACTTCACTGATAATTTTTACCAATAACTTTATAAAATGTTTTATCACCATTTAACCTAGCTTAAGAGAAAACTTTCCAGGTCTTCAATTTAATTGTGAAATAATCGAATTTTGTAGATTCCTGAAAGCTCCGCTCATTCCATGGCGGTGTTTGGAAAGAATTGATTTTGATATTTTCACAGATTGTTTTTCATTATTTTGACCATAAAAAAGAGCGAGAAATTGGTCGGAATGTTGATCTGAAAAAAAAAATCGCTGACTGGGTTTAAACTGCTTACATGGTGATTTTTTGACGATAAAACACTGATTCTGTATCCATGAAACTTTACAGCAGTAAAACAGTGCGGCAATTTTTATTACAGTGCCTAAACAAGACAAACATGTAGCAGTTCTCCAAAGCATAAGTTGTCACAAATAAACTTTGGGTAAAAATCCTGGGACAGTACAGTAACATCATATCGGAATTTATCAGCAACGCGGATTAAAATTATTCGTCTTTACTTTAAATATTACAAAATTCTCAAACTTGTGACGCTTTGTAACGATAAATTCGGCTTTTTACTAATTGTATAGCTTGATAAGTTTATCATTGATTTTTTTTCAGGTGATTTAACCCATACTCAAACTATCGAGAAAATTGTCGAAGATACTATCAAAACATTTGGAAAAATTGACACTCTAATCAATAACGCCGGCTGGTCTTACGGAATAGCGTCGATTTTTGAAGAGACAATTGAAGCCTTCCAGAAAACTTTTGACCTCAACGTAAAGGCTGTGGTCATGCTGACAAAGTTGTGTCTTCCCTACTTGCGAGAATCAAAAGGAAACGTTATAAATATCTCATCTACAGGAAGTGTTCAGAACTATAATAACCTCTCGTTCTACTGTATGAGCAAGGCTGCTCTGGACATGTTCACAAAATGCCTGGCAACTGAGGAAGGCAAAAATGGAATAAGAGTTAACTCTGTCAATCCAGGATTTGTGGATACAGGTAGTCAACTCAAAAAAGTTCGGTTTGTTTTCATCATACTTGATTTAATGGCTGGAATTCAAAAAACTGCAAAGCTGCACCGCCGACTAATTTAATTCATAATGTGTCATCACATCGTTTTTCGAAATCAGTTTTCGTTATGGAAGCTACCCTAAATATAAAAAAAAGTTATCCACGTTTTTAAAAAACTCAAGCAGTAATACGTTATTTTGATACCACAACAAAATGTTTTTTTTTCTTGGAACATTTTCTAGACTTTATTTGTGAGTTAAACGTTCAAATTTCTCAGAAACTCTTTTTTTGCAAGCTGTGGTCGTTTTATACCAAAGAGTGGTCGTTTTATACCATTCGTTACCTAAAAATATCTGGATGCGTTGAATTATTCCCTTTGACGCAATTCAACGATTTCGTTTTAGCTGATACTTTTGTTATACTACTGAGTCGTTGCTCTCCTTAAGTTTGACGAGTTGTTTCTTTGTTGAGGCGAGTCGTCGTGATATCAGGAATGGTCAACCCCTAGCTCCTAGATAAGCTACATTTAACTGCAAGTAAGGTATAAGGAGATAATCAAATTTTGCATATGGTGAATCTAGAAAAATTGATCAAGTTTTTTTGTTCCGACTTTCGTAATGAAAAGAACGGAATATTTGTGCTCGGTATGATTTTTTTTCGGCAGGCAAATATCAACTTATTAACTACCTATTTTTGACGGCATTTTAATATATCAATCAAAGTCGTGAGCTTAAATTTGGCCAAATTAGGACTAACGCGCGAATTTCTCCCGCTATTTAATCTATCTTAGAAATCGTTACAATGTGGTTGAAGGAAAGCATATTTGTCATTTGTTACTAGGAGCAAAATTTACCACTTTATAGTTTATATGCAGTGTGGGGAGGGGGTTGAAACTTAAAAAGAAGGGTTAAATTGAGGGTTTAAGAGTTAATTCTGTAAATCCAGGAGTTGTGGATACAGTTAATGTCTTTGGATGACCAAAATTCAGGTTTATCCCTTTAATTCAATCTTTATACAAACATTCAGAAGGCAACAAGCTCTTAATTTTTGACCTATCATCACAAAAATTTTGTCATGACATTGCTTTTGGCAGCATTATGAGAGTATCAAGAAAAAAAATTACTTCTAATTCATGGAAACAATGAAGAAAAAATATCTAAGAAATTAGGATTATTGGCTTGAAAAACGGTTGCTGAGTGTGTTTGAGCGCCAAAGCGCAGTTAAAAAATTTAAGGGTGAATTGATCCTTATTGCTCGTGTAAAATAGGACCAAACGAGGACCCGTAGGAAAATCTGGAAAGGCTCGTGAGAAAGCGACAGCGCGCACAAACTCTATACATTTGACTCTATGAAAGACATTTTTGACGAAAAATTGACGTCTTCTGTTTTCGCTGAGAAAATTTAAAAAAATAGAAGAAACAATCCGTTCTGACAGATTACAAATTTGCTAAGTACATGTCCCATATTGTTGCAATTTTAAAAAAAAAATAATATTTTTTGGTAAAACTATGATGGTTTAAATATTGGCAGTTTGGCTAATTTAGTAAAATGACGAGCCTTTTGTTTTGGTCTCTTTAACGCTGGAGCGCTAATAAATGCGGCTCAGAAATAATTTCGATTGGATTTGAGGCAAGCAACAATATGGGACATGGACTTAGCAAATTTGTAATCTGTCAGAACGGATTGTTTCTTCTATTTTTTTAAATTTTCTCAGCGAAAACAGAAGATTAAGACTTTGACCCATGCTAGATAAAATCAGATGTAAAGTTGTTTCGAATTCATAAAAAATCATTACATTATAACTAGGATTCACATGTTTTCCTATTATAGAAAAATTGCAAATAGCAAATAGAATTCGATTTTCGTGTTAAGGGTTCAAAATGGCTTGTTACGAAGACGATGAGTTTGATTTTACCCACTATCCTGTTAGAAAAACGAGTGAAAAAATTGAAAGTGTTTCCTGATGCAGCCTCAACGAACTGTCGTATTTGTTTTGAGGACTCAGGCATTATAAGCAGGGGCGGATTAAGGGGGGGCGGGGGGGGGGGGGGCGGACGCCTCCTTTCCTCTGAGATTCGACCCCCGCCGACCCAAAGGGTCCCCCCTTTGATGCTTTTTAAGAAATCCATTTTTTGCCGATCGACCATAAAATTTTTCTAAAGGCGCCTTTGGCGCCATTATATACTAACTTTGAGGGGGAGCGCGCGCAAAAAAAACGCAATTTTTTTGTCAAAATTTTTCAAAAAGGGCCCAAAAACGGCTTTTTTGACTGTTTTTTTTCAAAATTTAGCCTGCGGCGCAGAAAATTTAGCCAAAATAGGGGCAAAACAGTGCTTTGGGAGAGCTCGAAAAATGAATTTGGTCGACCTAAAAAAAAGGTCGTCAAAATTTTCGATTTTTTTGAAAATCCGCCTCCCCCCTCGAGAAAATCCTAGATCCGCCCCTGATTATAAGGTTTTGAACGCTGGACAAGAATAAGAGACAACATGACTCCCAATGCGAATTTTGTACATTGTTGGGGGCCGTCAAACTTCCAGTGTTGTAACATTTCATTGGTTGGCTTATATTGATCATCAACGCAAATTGTAAACAATTATTCAACCGTTCATTGACGCTTATGTTTTATTTTCTAATTGTTGTTTTGTTAAAAAGAACCAAATTGAATTTCTATTCTCAATTTTGTTGTTTTGTTTGCCAAAATGTTTCCAAAAAAAAGAACACCTATGAAATAGCAATGATGTATTGGCTATATTATGAGATTAGAAGAAATTCATCAAATTCGACCAGATCATTCCAAAATGATTCATCGATCATTCATCAAAACTTCAATCATTTATCTTAGTTGCAGAGAAAACGGCAAAAACGAGAGAAAAAATCTAGATAATTTCGTCTTTGAAATCGAAAAATTGCAAACTCTATGTCCCTTGCTAATTATCGAAAAATAATTCGTTCAAGGACATTAACAAGACTGCTCGTATCAGGGCGAACCCTGAATGTTCCGACTGCCTTTTAAGGTTTATGGAGCAGCAGTAATAACATTAAAAAAATTAAATGAAATAAATTAAATTGAAAATTTTTTTTCTAAAATTTGAAATTTTTTATGAAAGTCATCCCCCACACGCCATTTAAAGTACAAAAAAAGAGATTTCGTTCCTTGTAACAAATCAATTATGGCAAATAAGCTTCCTTCAACCAATTTGGAAAGATTTATAAGACGGATTAAATCTCGGCTTATGCGTTGATAGCGCGAATTATATCGCGCGTTAATTGTCCCAAATTGGTCAAAATGCCCAAAATGGCAATCTTTAAACCCTCATAACTTTACAAAAAAAGATCACAGGTGAAATATCGTTTCAAATTTAAGCTCAGTACGACAAAACCTTTTGAATGATTTAAAAAAATTCCGTCAAAAATGGCTAGTTTAAAGTCGAAAAATGTCTGAAGAAAAAAACCCACCCCGAGCACAAATATTCCGTTACTTTCGTATCGAAAGTCGGAACAATAAGACTGCTCGTATAACAGTGCAAAAGCCTTAAATGTTGCGATTGCCCCTTGAATGGTATGTTTTGTAAACCTTTGGAGTTGTATAAGGAAGTAAAAGGACTGAAATAACTTGCCTCAAGTCAATTTGATAAGGCAACCAGTGTGAAATAACAAATCCGGAAAAAAATCAATAATAAAACTATCAAAGTTTGAACGACTAGCTCTCAGCGCAGTTAGGTTGGAGTAAAGATAGCAGTCCGGGGTTTTCGAAAAATTCCAGGGTCGATTTTCAGGCTGTAGAAAATTGGAACCAAAACATCATTTCAGACTACTTTTAATAGAACGTGGGAGGGTGTTTTCATAAAATAAATACCATTTTTAGATACTATAAGAAGATGCATTATCGCTTAGACTTTACTGGATAGTCATTTCATTAACGTTTTTGCTCTAACATGAGCAGTTCTGTATCATTCGTGCAGAACACTAGCGCAAAACAGGATGAGCAACATCTATTAGTGCACTAAAAAACCAATTCATCAATTTTTGAATGTTCTTTTTCTATGCTGAGATGAATAGTCTAAGAAACACTTCCAAGCAGGCGTAACGAAATGTCCTAATGAAATGATTTTCCTAATACTAGGTATCCATGAAAGGTGTGGGATGCCTCGTTCTGCAGTTGATGAACTAGTTGAGAGGTGCAAGAACAGCCATGCAGTCGGAAGAGGCGGAGCACCAGAGGAAGTTGCCAACATAATCGCGTTCATTGCAAGCAAGGAGGCCTCGTTCGTCACTGGTAACATTACAATGGTAGACGGGGGACTCAATTGCTATAATCCACTATAAAACTGATTTTGATAGTGGCAGAATTTTTCACGAATTACAAGTCGCATATAAGAACTGCCCTTAGTGAACGGCAATGAAAGACTGATTAAAATACTGATATACTGATTGAATGAATACTAAAAAACGGATTGAAATCAAGATTAAAATAGCTGTATATTTAAAAAGTTTCGAGAAAAACGTCCCCAAAATCAGAATAAAATAAACGTGTTCTCCTTGGATGCTTAAACGTTTATTTTAATGTTTTTGACTCTTCAAAGTCATCATGTTGGGTCATCGTGAGCTCACATTTAAGCGGTCTTCTACCTAAAACTTATGAGCCGAAACTAAAAGTTTTAAAACGACCCATATATAGTGAAAACTTGAGAAAATCTACAAACAATATAAAAATATACCGGCGTAAGAAACTATAAACCGACACTAGTAATAGTCTTTGCTTGTTTTAAATCTTTTTTAAATACTTAAATCATTTAAAACGACAAGAAAATATATTTTTTTACAAACGAACAAATACTAAAAAAGAGTAAAAAGAAAATTTTTCGCCGTGGTACCAAAAACAACTTTTCAACAGCTTTAATTGCTAAAAATGAACTTTCAGGCTCCTAATGTGCTTGTTTTAACTTTTTTGCGTATTCAGCAAGATATTTGAAGACTTTTGAGCAAATTCATTAAACTGACACATTTTTGCAATTTTGACAGTATTTGAATAAATCGAATATCCTATTTTTTAACCAATTTTTCTCAGTAGACCACTGCAATGCTAACTTTTTGAAAAAAGGCTTTTTCACCAGCTTTGAGACACTTATTGCTGCAAAAGTTTGCAATGAATCTAAAAATTTTTTTATTTTAATTAAAGTTGCTTCTTTTTTGCGTACCATTACTATATCAGACCACCAATGAAACAGTGCGCGTGGAAGACCTGAAAAGAACTAGTGGACTTTGGATTTGGTTTGGAGGAAACATTTAGAAAGAATACTCCAACAGATATCTATTGGTGGACTCTTGGGCTGGAATGAAGGCATCCAGATTCAATTTAGGCTTGGAGCAGATAATTGAGTTTTGTGAGATCAATCCAAAATTTTTTCCATGAAAATGTCTAAAAAAGTAACGAAAAACGTCTAATGAACAGAATATAAGTATTTGATTACTTGAAGATCCCGAATATCCATGTAAAATTTTCCGATAAGAATGCTAATTTAATTGTCAATGGTGTGTTATTTGCGAAACGTGGTTCCACGATGACTGTAGCAACTTGCATAAGGAAGTTCTCCAAAAATAGGGCAAAGTGAAAGGTTTATTCTGGAAATGCGAGGAGTGTTTAGACCTAAAAATAAAGCATGATAAATTGAAAATCATGAACAAAATCTAAAACGCAAATTCAAGAATCTAAAACAATTTAGCCGATGTAAAATTTCTTTCAACAGAATAACGACCAAATATTGACTATTCAGAAAGAAATTTCAGAAATTGAAAACCTTGCTTCTTTGAAGCAGTCCATTAGACCGAGTAACGATTTTTCATCAATTGAGACCAGTTTATCTAAAAGAATTGAAAATGCTCCCACCTTAGACCCAAGCTAAAAACAGACTCTAGTCTTATCGGAAAAAAAAACTATCGATATATGGATTAGCAGAAAACATACAGGACAATAAATTGTACGAACTGAATGGAATAGAAATGGATTGCTGCAAATGTTCAGAGAGAGGATGGAACTTTAAAAAATCTCTATGAGCGACTTTTTTAGTCTGGTTAAGAGCGACCATACAAATCAAGACCACTTGTCTTTAACATTTCATCTTCTTGGTATCATAAATTTTTTTTTCTTTCTCCTTGATTAAGCTGAGGAATTTGAATATGTATATCAAGGATTTTCTGAATTAAGCGAATTTTCAGAACGAAAACACATTTCTGTAATATAGATACGATTTGAGTTCTTTGATGAAAAACGAAAAATTAAAATTCAAAAAAGAGGCTGGAAACCTTGTTTTTGGGCACTTACACAATTAACTGCCACAAAGAAGTTCAATCTGAGTATGATCCACTTCTTGGTAAAATTAACTCTTCCACTTGACAACTTAGTGACCTTGAACTTTTGTCACTGAATTGCAGATACATCTTCTACACAGATGTATACGAAGTAATTCACCGTTCTGAAAGGAAAACTGGACATCATGGAGAAGTCCTAATTGTGCTTTAAACATCATCTAACTTAAAAGTCATCGATGAACAACCGGTCCTTTTTGGCGTTGGTTCATATTTGTTTGTGAAGCTGAATAACCTAATGCTTTGCATAACAGCCATTTACAATCCACCACATGACATTTTTCATAATCTAAAGGCAAATATAATTTTAAAAAAAAAACACAAAATTGAGTGAGGCGAACAAAAAATTCAAATATCAAGTATCTAACAGGAACACAACGCACTGAATTTTATGCGGCGATCTGAACTTGACTTCAGTTCAATGGAATACTTTATCAAGTGATGACCAACGTGAATCCAGTTTTTTGAAATCAATTGCGAGGGTCAATCATGGTTTACATTGTTTTTTTTTTACAGCAAATAGTTTTATTGGACATTCATTCTGTATGTAATATCTTCGGAATTAACAAAAGCTTCTGAAATCATATTGGGAAATAGCATTTAAAAATGAAACGGATCAGATAAATCTAAATCAATACTGTATCCGTTAAGCAGACTCCTAATCAATGCGTTTGTTTTTCTTAAGCAACAGACTTCCATGCTCGACTGATGCAAATGTAATGCTTGAAACATTCTATGAGTTGTATTGTCAAGCCCTTAGCAAATTTATTCAAAAAATGACAATTCTTTGCTCTAAAACCCCCCAATGCATGTCATCACACGAAATAATGCTGAAAGTTGTCTTCATACGGCGTTTAAACATAATTATTTTGACAAAAAAAGTTAAGCTCTGCAAACAAAAAAATTTTCAGATCGATAAATGGAAAGGCAAAAAAACCCAAGAAAAGTTCATACTAAAATACAAGTTTATGCTCCAATTTTGCAATTGGTGAGGCTTTTAACGAGTTTTCTGCATCTGTGTTCAAAATTGAACACGAACCACTGAATGTTCCCAGCGAAAGTTTTTTCCAAGGAATATAATTATCACAAATTTTCTTTTCGTATTGCAAAATTCTTATCGAAGTGAAAAAAGGACAAAGTCAATTTATGGTATATCTCCCTATGTTTTAATTTTTGTTTCACAGTTCCGTTTGAATGATATGTTGATTTGTTTAATTGCATAGTCAGTAATAAACTGTTTCTGGAAATCAGCACACTTTAATCTTTTATACAAAAAGCTTCGTTGAAAACTACAATTACAAAACATTGATATTTACAGGCGCATTTCAAGACTTCATGCACTCGCCTTATTGTTTCAAATAGTTTTATGTAATGAACAAAAGAGTTCAGTTAATGAAAATTGCGTAAAAATTAACAAGGATTCAGAAAACATCATTCGACTGTGACAAACCTTATATTGTACTGTGATGTTGTATACATAAAAAAGAATAGGGAGAATTAACTCTCACGCTGTTACTGATATTGCAACAGGTTTCGACTCTATTAGCCAATATATCATTTTTTACAAGCTTGCCAAAATAGGATTCGACTATGAGTTGCTTCAATTTTTTGCATCTTATTCCACAAACAGAAAACAAATAACTTTTCTTGGTAATAATTTGTCATTCCCGCAAAATAACAGTTGGTAGTACACATGGATCTACTTTGCAGTAATCTTGTTGTCTTTATCTATAAACGATATTGCGGAAATTATTAACAACATTTCCTTTCTAAATGCTGACGATATAATAAATATTTGAATTGGGATGGACCTTTCTTCGATTCAAAACAGATCTAAGCAATGTAATCATCTGGTCAGCCGAAAATAAAATTGATTTTAATTTTCACAAATTTGACCACTTTAAGTTTCAAAAATCAAATAAGCGATACAATTAAGCGATCTTTCATCTATTGATGGAGAACAAATAGTTTTAAAACATACTGTGAAAAACCTTGGTGTTTGGCGCAGTTTCAAAATGTCATGGATATACCACATCACCGTCGAGCTGAAAACAGCAAACACACGTTTTAATTGTATCGGAAAGTCTTCGCCAAACTCACTTAGTAGCTCTGTTCGGGTTTCGCTTTTTAAAAGCTTCATACTATCAATAAAATTTTCATGTATCCCCAGTCTAGTTTGTGACTAAAAACCAATCTAAGCGAAAAGAAAAATCTCAACGACGATGCATAAAAAGGTGCTACATAAAACATGTATTGATTTAATAAGCTTTTGTTTTTTTACTTCAAAAAATCAACCTGTTGCCAAGTTCACTGATGTTATTTAAAAACGATTCAACTTTGCTGAATAACATTCTTAAAAACAAGTTGCCGATAAATTTTTTTCATTTTGTACAATCGTCTCGGGCCCTAATTCAAATCGAACAGGAAACAAGACGTTTTTGAGAATGCCAATGATAAAACGTAGCAAAGTTTCGAAAGTTTGTTTTACCCTGTCGCAAAAAATGTCAAATAAAAACACCCTCGCGAGGTTGAATAATTTGCCTGGCTATGATCCTTTTCGAGAAACTGTGATCTTTAGAAAAAATATGAGCCTGTTATTGGTTGATGAATTACAATTGTTTAGATACTCGATTGTTGCAGAGACATGGTTTTCAAGTTTATTTTTCTAACTTTGTTATCAATGACTAAGAGCTTAATTCAATCTTATTTTGATCATGGTTATGATTATTGTTTTCATGATTATTATAAAAAAACATCGACTGAGAACCAGAACTTCAGACGTGATCTTGTCAGAGGATAAAAAACTAAATAAATGCTTTGGACGTTTAAAAATCATCAAACTTGCTCCTAATTACCACAAAGGTTTTATGAACAAACCTTTTAAAAAACCAGCATAAACGGAATCGAAGTCATTTCTGGTCCATTCTTATGCTCTTACCTATTAAAAAGATTGCCACAGATTTTTCGCAAAAAAAGTAGCATCTCGGATGACGACTGAAAAACTAAGTTTGACATATCATTCAACTTAATGAAATATCTTAGTTTGCCAGCCATGTTAGCGGACAGTTTGCAAAAAAGGCTGTTCAAATGGGGATGCCCCACTCAGGATCTCAA